TCTGTCTGTACCCCGAGCGGCAAAGCAACTATGTTGGAGAAACCGGCAGACTTCTCAAGACGCGAATTGCGGCGAAATGATGCCACTTCTGAAGTTGCGACGCATTCGACGAGACCCGGCACGCATCCAAATTTGATGAATCCGAAATTCTCGCAAGAGGTGATAATCTTTTGATCCGAGAATTACTCGAGTCATGGTTCTGGCCCCCAGTCCATAAACAAGCGCAGTGACTTGCCCGATTCATATTCGGTGTTGAGGCTCAATTTGGCCAATACAAGTGGCCACCGCGTCGTCTTACGCCAAAACTGGGGAAGCAGATGGCCGAGCAATCATCACGTCAAATTCCACCACGCGTGATTTGTGTACACCACGGCTCGCATGCCAGTCTCCAAGCTAGTAACACACGAGAGTGCAATGATCGTTAATTATCGTTATTTGTCATATGTGTGCAGTAATGACTGTGTCCTATAAGTACTGCAACTTTCTGTGTATGTATCACCCGTTTCTGCTATTGTATTCTGCTGATGTCTCTGATGAAGAACTCGCGACGGATGCCGAAACGTCAGGCGAAAAAAGTATTGTCCTAGCGATCGAATCTTCTCAAACGCACTTAAAGTGACATGGGCCGCATTATCGTTCATTGTGAGATAACCAATACAATCACTAATTTCGTCAGGCCTCCTCTCAAATTCGACAGCGTAATGAAGAGGATGGGGATCGTCCCTGGGTTTCACTTTGTTTGCTGGTTGACTATTCTGAGAAAACAGATGTAATTCAGGCATCAATATTCGCCGCAATGATGCCTTTAGTGAACCAATTGGACGGAGTGTTATCTGATGGACGTTTTAGGGTGTCCCTCCACAGGGGCTCTGTAGTATCATTAAGACCACTGGTTAGAGGACTTCCTACTCTAAGCTGATGTCCCATTATGCAATTAGACGACGTAACAGAAAATCAGGTGGCTCAGTTCTTGTTGCAAAATATCAACGATGCTCTCCAGTAGTATATTTTTGGTTCGTATAATACAATCTAGTAACTGCAATCCCCTCCTTCGATGTGTATTTAGGGTTGCGACCTTAAAGCTGTAAAGCAGAAGATGACAGGTCAATTAAGGCCAGTGTTATTTGTTTCTCCAATATTTCTGTACTACTTACGAACCTGGACTTGTAATAAAAACCCCTATGGTGATATTTGGAGCAGTTGCTTCGCACACTCCCTCTGCGGTTAAATCTGACGGTTCTCCCATCGTTGTCTGTCTCGGGTTACTCATTTTGATATCCTTCTTATCTAATGTTTAATCTCCAGTGTTCGCCGGGCGGTTTTGACCAAACTCTAAGACGGATGGACTCTTATCACAGCTTTTAAGTTTCAGCATTAAAATAAACCGCTTTTGTCTGTCTCCTTAGGGCACTTCCTTAAATGATATGGCCGTGAAGTTCGTCGAGACCTCCAAGTCGTGGAATCTTCTCTCGCAGGACTCCAAAGAGGTAATATATATACCGGTGGTTTTTGAATCTGAGATAAAATGTTTACTGATTACCACTTGAGTAGGACGTTTTGTTTACAACTAACAATATCTTCCTCCCTTTCAGAAGTACGTTGCACAGGCAATGGAGAACAGGTTGACCTACCTTCGGGCTCTAAAACAGTGGGCTGATGATAAGGAGATCCAGTTCTCCAAACGAGTTTCAGTCCTTTCGAGCCGCTTGTATGCCAAGCACCAGCGCAGCGAGGCCAAGGCGAAGCGTTTGAAGGAGAGCAGCAAGACAGCTGCTAAAACTGCCTAATCACTGCGCTTTGCATTTGTATTTCCTTTTTCTAAAAACTTGATAAATAGATTTATTATCAAAATTTCGTAAATTTGTGTTTTTTTTACATTTTGAGCCTTTTCTATCACGAATGGAGGCGGAGGGTAGGTAATGAATGTGATTGCCAATACAAGTGAACATGCAAGTCCCAGGAAGTAATTGAGAAAAAGACGACTCAATCGTTGGGATAATATGTTTATTCGCCTGACTTTTCGACATCTGACGCGGATTCATTATCAGAGACACTAGCGGAAAACAGTAGCAGAAACGGGTAATACATACACAGGGGTTTGCAGTTTTTATAGGATACAGTCATTACTGCAAACATACAGCGACCATTAACGTTAATTTCTACTTGTGCATGGATAGTTCGTTGGACGGCAGGCGGGCTCTGACCTGTTGAACTTTCATCACGGGCGGTGGGCTCGGGCGTGATGATTGCTCTCCATCTGGTTCTCCGATGTTGACGTGGGATGACGCGGTGGCCTCTCCGTTCCCCAAGTGGCGACTTGCTTTGGCCAAATTGGGTCTCAGCACCGAATATGTATTGGGCAAATCATCGCACTTGTTTATGGATTTGGGGTCAGTGAACCATGACTCAAGTAATTATCGGCTCACCAAATTTGCATGTGTGGCCGAGTCTCGTCGAATGAGCCGCAACTTGGGAATTCGCATCATTTCGCCGGACTGCTGCCGCGTATTCGGCAACTCGCGTCTTGAGAAGTCTGCCGGTTTCTCCGACATAGTTGCTTTGCCCGCAACTGCAGCAGATCCTGTAGACGACTCCAGATGTTTCCTGTCTTGGCAGTGGGTCTTTCGGTTTCATTCTATGACGCCTTATTGTTGCCTCCTTCCTGTGTGCGACTCCGACTCAAACTGGTGCGAGAAGGCGGCCGACAGCCTCCGAGACGTTTTTAACGTACGGAATCGCTCGCCAAATTTTGGGATTGGTGCGATTTTGTTGGCCATCTCGTTCGCGTAAGCACCGGCTGACGAAGTTGCGCGGGTAGCCATCTTCTCTGAACACCCATCGAAGATATTGTATTTCGGCAACTTTGTCTTCTGGTTCGCTGCAGTGCGTCTCAACACGCTGATAGAGCGCCTTTATGCAACTGCGTTTGTGGCTAATTGTGTGGTTTCTGTTGTAATTCAGTACTTGCATCGCGTTTGTCGCTTTCCTGAATACTTTAGCCTTTAGATCACCACAGTGTTTGCGGCAAATGAGGCCATCCAACAAGGCCAGCTGGTTGTTCTCTTCCTCCATCGTAAATGGAATGTCCGGGAAGACGCTATTGACACGTTCCTTGAACGTGAGCACTTGATCTCGTTCGATGACGACGGCGTCATCCACATATTGTCCCAGCGATCGAGTCGTCATGTAAAATACTACCAGCCCTCTAACAGGGACTCCCACAAATGGTGGCGACTTTACAAGTTCCAGGCCCTTGTAGCAAACCAAGGATTGAGGCGCGATCGCTGGACCAGTAGGAGTTCTTAGCCCGAGCTTCTGAACTCCAACAGGTTTAAGTACAACGAACATAGGGTACTTTTATACTCGAATAATATGGAGGGTGGAGGGGGCGAGTTCGCGCCGATTAGCTAGCAGTGATCTAGTGACCTGGTAACGGCGTGCGGCCTTGGTCAGAAAGTAAGCCACGCTACCTGGTACCTTGTGTGTTCGTGTGTTAACACTGATTATGCTCCCCCCAGTTACGTGTTAGGAAGAGAAAGCAGAACAGGATAGCAGATAGTACTTTACTGTTACTAGTTCTGCTTGTATATCAACTCTGTTTCCTGTGTGTCCGGCAGCTTGTCTTCTGTGTCCCTCAGCAGCTTGTGTTCTGTCGTCGTCTCGGTCAACAGCGTTCCGTGTCTCTAGCAGCCGTGTCCCAGGTCGCTAACAGCAGAATGTCGGGTCGTCGGTAGCGCTCCTCGGCAACAGAGTGCCGCCTGCAGCGG